TCTGATAGTACCTTAGCAAGTACAATTGCTGTTCTTCAATGCTGGTTTTATAGCCATTCCTCTTGCAGTGTTTTGGATAATACAAGAGCTGTCCAGGTGCTGAATTTATTACAAGTAGAGCAGTGGTTCCCAACCTTCCTAATGCCATGACCCCTTAATAATGCCACGATGCCACGACCCCTTAATACAGTTCCTCATGTTGTGGTGACCCCCAACCATAACCCTAACATTATGAATCGCCATGTAAATAATGATCTGCAGGATGTATTTTCATTCACTGGAGAAAATTTGGCACAAATACCCAGTATGCCCAAATTTGAATACTGGTGGGGTTGGCAGGGGGATTGATTTTGTCATTTGGGAGTTGTAGTTGCTGGGATTTATAGTTAACATGTAAACAAAGAGCATTCTGAACCCAACCAACAATGGTACGAAACCCCGACCCAGAATCAGGTCGTCTACGAATGATTTAGCGCCGGGTTCCCCGCGAACGTTGGCACAGAGAACTCCCATGATCAACAGAAAATACTGGAAGGGTTTGGTGAGCATTGACCTTGAGTTTGGGAGTTGTAGTTTGCCTACACTCAGAGAGCACTGTGGGCTCAAACAATGATGGATCTGGACCAAACTTGGCACGGATACTCAATATGCCCAAATGTGAACACTGATGGGGTTTGACATTTGGGAGTTGTAGATACTGAGATTTATAGTTCACCTACAATCAAGGAATGTTCTGAACCCCACCAATGATAGAATTGGGCCAAACTTCCCACACAGAACACCCATGACTAACAGAAAATACTGTGTTTTCTGATGGTCTTTGGCAACCCCTCTGACACCCCTTCACGACCCCCACAAGGGTCCTGACCCCCAGGTTGAGAAACACTGCAGTAGAGGTTTAGCATCAAAACAGCTCATGTACAGTACAACTTAGTGCCTACAAAAAGAAGCATAGATTCACCATTCCTATAAAAAGGAAAATGTTCATCAGCACCACTGTAACCATGATTATTTCTGATGTTAAAAACTTGCCTTCACCCATAGTCCAATGTGCATCTGAAGCAATGGCTCACATGAACTCCCTGAGTACCAACAAGGCAAGAAATCATCCACTGGATCTTGCCCTCGCTAGCAACAGCAACAGCAAAACAAGGAGTGGACAAGACATTAATATAGCTCGTGCACACTTTGTTGGATGCTATCAGAATCAACTACATTTTAGCATTCATTATTCATTATTTGATTACTTTACACACTGCAAATATCAATATTCAATGCTGGATCCAACCATTAGGTCCAATGTTCTATCTCCAGCCAGCATCATCATCTAGGGAAACTTTGGATAAATCATTGCTGCTGTTCTCTAACATTCATCCTTTATAAGTAGAGGTTCTATTGAGCTATGATGACTAAAATTAATGGCTAAATCTAACTGCCATTGAATTGTCAAACCCTTTTAAGTCACTACATCCCATTCATTATATGAACCCACAGAATAGTCTAGAAATTTGTGGCTCACAGGTCAGATGTGACTATCCATATTTTCTTTAACTAGTCTGAAAGCATCTTTCAGCTGTTACTACCAATCAGTGGTCAGAAATAAGAAGGTATTGGGGTATTAAAATTTATATATTCTACGTAAGATGGAGCCATTCCTTGCAGCCATAAAAGTTTTCACATAAAATGGAACTGTGCCATGAAAGCTATTACATGGAACAGAACTTTTTAGCTGTAAAAGTTGTTGCTGGAAAATTACCAAAGTATTACATCTGCCTTATTTTTTTGGACCTGTCTACTTTTTTCTTGGTTTGGCTCTTTCTTCTGTAAATATCAAAACCATGTTGTAGGTTTCTAATGGCCCTTTCTGCACAGCCACATAACCCAGAATATCAAGGCAGATAATCGACAATATCTGCTTTGAACTGGTTTATCTAAGTCCACACTGCCATATAAGCCAGTTCAAAGCAGATAATGTGCAATTTTATACAACTGTGTGGAAGGGACCAACCAATCAAAATGGGAGTATCCCACTGTTCTATCTCAAGGGTGACTACATGGACTACATGAGGTCTCCAGCCTCACCAAGACAGGAAGATAGGATTTTGGCCCATTGTGACAATGCTGGAAACATCCTTGAAACAAACAGGAAACATGCTTTTCTTTGTTTTGTTTTGTTTTTTTCTTGTAAGCAGCATGGCAGCAGGTGTGTGTGGCCCTCAATAGATCATGGTTGGTGTCCTGTTTTGCCCCAGAAACAGCCATACAACAAGGATTAAAGCAACTAAATAAAAGCTTTACTTCAGCAAAATAATAATACTCTAACAAACAGCAACAAAAGAATAGAAGGAAAATCCCAAAAGCAAAGCAAAAGTCTTACAGCAGATATAAAACCAGAGTCTTTGGCAAGAAGTCTTTGCGAGGCACTTGCTGGAGCTGCAAACAAGGAAACCGGAGCACAGAAGCTCTGAGTAGAACGGTTGCTGCCATCATTGACCACTTGCTTTACTGCTGATTTATAACCCTCAGCTCCCAGTACAGGTGTTCCTAAGGCAAGGTCTGATTGCTCAGCATCCTTGCAGAAATTCTGACTTTCTCTTTTCTTCTTTTGCCCTTTGGCATTCATGAAAGGGAGGAACTGGCAGTATGTTTTCCTCGCCCTCTTCTTCCTCCTCAACACTTGGCCCCAAATCCCCAACTCCTACATCTTCAGCCTCCTGTTCTTTCTCCTCCTCAGAAGAAGAAGAGAAGTGCACAACAGTTGGGAAGAATTCATTCCCAACCCACTGGTCCCCGGTCTGTCACATTCCCAAGGTGTACCAAGTATGGACTATGGGTATGTTGTCAAGTATAATGTGTTTCTGCTGCAGCAAAGCTGACCACATACTTTGTTTCCCTTATGCACAAAACTAAATATTTGAATAGATTGATTTTTAAATATTTCTTTCTCTTCATAATAATTTAGGTAGCCCTAAATACCCTAAATGTACCAGGTCCTGTTTGATTTTGGAAGCTCAGCAGAACCAATCCTGGTTAGTACTTGGATGGGAGACCACCACTAAGTAGCAGATACTGTAGATTATATTTCAGAGGAAACAACCGCAAACTGCCTTTGATTCCTCTTTGCCATTTTTATCTCACAACAACCCTTTTTGTAGCTGAGGGTTATGAGCCCAAATCTATTTAGGGAATTTTACGTTCAAGAAAAATCTGAATCCAGCTCTCTAACAACTCTACACCCTGGCACATATTTTGATTCTATAGTTCTTAGAGTCTGTGTCTAAGAACTTCTTCATTCAAATAAGCAAAGTGACAATGTTCATGTTCACATTCAAATTCAGAAGAGCCAAAACCTGGAAATATAAGTAGCAGGGCTGTGCAATCAATGAAAAAATGCTTCAAAGCTCAATACAAAATTAGGGGGTGTTTCTAAGGTTGTTAGTGAAAATTTCATTACTATAAATGAGAGTAATGAAATTTCCTTACGTTTCATGATAGTAATTGTGCAAGTGGGGAAATTTCAGGAGCTCCTTTCTCCCTCATTTTTATAGCTATTGGGATGAAACTTGCTACAATGGTAGAACACATTTACCACTGTTAGACCATCAAGTTTCAGAACATTTCACTTATCCATGGATTTTTGGGAAATTTTCAAAATTTATATAAACAACATTTTTTTAAAAAAACTAGTAGAGCTATCTCTTATACAATGACACAAGATATCAGGGGATCACCCTCTCCCCCAAACTTTCAGAAATATTCATACATCTACTGATTTTAAGGATTTTTAAAAAAGTTTTGACAAAATCATTTTTTAAGCCACAACAGCTAACTCATTGAATGTCTCTCATACAGGCCCGTAGCCAGGATTTTGTTTCGGGGGGGGGGGGGCTGAATTTTTTCAGGGGGGGTCGGGGGGGGCTGAGTTCGGGGGGGCTGAGTCTGAGTGAAAGAGGTCTAGCCTAGCAAACCTTTTGTATCATTACCCCAATACCCCCATGCATATGGGATATATTGAGTATGGTGATCAGATCATGATATGAATAAACATAACAGTTTAAATAATGCACCAGTAAGGCCTTTTCTCAGACCACCATGAGAATTTGGGGGGGGGGGCTGAAGCCCCTCAAGCTCCCCCCACGGCTGAAAAAATGTGAGAATTTTTGGTCTAGGACAGTGGTTCTCAACCTGTGGGTCCCCAGTGTTTTGGCCTACAACTCCCAGAAATCCCAGCCAGTTTACCAGCTGTTAGGATTTCTGGGAGTTGAAGGCCAAAACATCTGGGGACCCACAGGTTGAGAACCACTGTTTTATACCACAGAGTGCTGAGGTTTGAAGTTTCATGAAGTCTTAAGCCATTTCCTCATCTTTTGTTCCTAGTACTTGCACCGCTTCAAATGGACTCACCTAAGTGAACTTCTCTCTTCAATCCTTTCTGGTGCTGAGCAGAATTCTGGGAAATGTAGTTTAGGGCAGGGCAGCATTCTCTGACATTCTGTTCCTTGCCTTCCCAAACTACATTTCCCAGAATTCAGTGCTTTTTCAGTCTCTTTCCTAGTGAACTCTAATTTTTTTGTGCTGCTTCCCTCTTCTAGTGATGAGAGACCATTAATTCAAAGAGGAATAGCAGCCTTTTTAGCTTGGCTTTACTTCCTTGTGCTGACAATGAAACTGACTTTGGGGGGCTTCCGAGATGTGCAAAATGCAAATGAAAATGGATTTGGTAAGTTTTGATTCTTAAGTTTTTTGGAGTGGGCCACGCCCACATGTCTGATATCACCTTGTAAGTACAAATTTAACAAATTTGATCTGATTTATGAGGACTAATGATATTTTTGCACAGACCTAGTAGATAGCATAGGTATTAACTATCCTGGCTGTGGATTCTGGAAGTTGCAATCCAAAATGAAATATTTCCAAGTATAGGGAAGAACTGGGATAACCCCCAAACTCTCTCACACACACATACACAAATACACACAGTTATTTTAAGCTCTACTTACAACATCTATAAGCTGTGCAATGGACAATCCAAACCGCACAATGACCACATCAGAAATATTGGCAACTGGCCGAGACCACTTGTTATATCCAGAGAACAGTTTCTTCAGCAGGCGTTCCTCAGCATGGGCTCGAGTTTCTACATGGCTGAATGCTGCAAAGAAAGGAGAAGATGTTAAGAAAGAGTTCTAGTGTCATTCCAAATTATTGTTGAAGCTGAGAGAGTATGACTTCCCAACACAATCAAAGCACTCCAGACATATGGGCATCCAGCCTGTTTAGAAACTTCCAGAAAAGGAAACTCCATCATGCCACAAGGCAGCATATTCCACTGTTGAACAGCTCTTATCACCAGGAAGTCCTTCCTAATATTCAGGTAGCATCTTTTTTCCCTGAAGTTTGAATCCATTGCTCTGTGTTTTTGTCTCTGAACCAGCAGAAAACAAGTTTGATTCACCTTCAATATGACATCATTTCAAATATTTAAATATGGTTTTCATATCATCTATTAACTTTTTCTTCTTCTGACTAAACAAGCCCTCTAAACTGCTCCTCATAGGAAATGCTTTTCAAACCTTAGATCATTTATGGGCCCTTCCACACAGAATATCAAGGCAGAATAACCCACAATATCTGCTTTGAACTAGGTTATGTGAGTCCACACTGCCATATATCCCAGTTCAAAGCAGATATTGTGGGGTTTTATTCAGCTGTATGGAAGGGGCCTTGTCACACTTTTCTGGTGGTACATTGACACATTACAATCAACTATTTGTCACAATTCACTGAGTCAGCAAGTACAGAAGGCCCTTACTATCTGCTAGAGTTTTGCTCCAAGGTTTCCTGTAGATACTAAAATCCATTTGTTGTTGTTGTTCATTCATTCAGTCATTTCCGACTCTTCGTGACTTCAGACCAGAGTTCCCTGTCGGTTGTCACCACCCCCAGCTCCTTCAAGGTCAATCCAGTCACTTCAAGAATACCATCCATCCATCTTGCCCTTGGTTGGCCCCTCTTCCTTTTTCCTTCCATTTTCCCCAGCATCATACTCTTCTCTAAGCTTTCCTTTCTTCTCATGATGTGGCCAAAGTACTTCATCTTGGCCTCCTAAAATCCATAGATGCCCAGATTCCCATTGTACAATGGGCTCGTAAAATGGTGTCTCTTATATAAAATCACAAAATCAAGGTTTGCTTTTTGGATTTTAAAAAAATACTTTTAATGTGTGGATAAGAATCTATGGATATGGAGGGCTCACTGTATATGATTGGAAGGATGTGTATAGCATACAGGCAAATTTCTGAACTCAAAAAGTTAAGATGTGTAAAAGGCCTGCTATTTGAGGAAGAGCTGCGATGCTTTTGATTATTCAGTTAGGTCTAGTTATGCCCCAAGGGATCATTTTTCCTTGTGGTTTTTGTTGTTATCGAGAGATGACTTAAAAGTGCACTAATAGCGCATGGCACGCTCCTTCTTCAAACATTCCCCACAAAAGGTCAACTAGCAAAAACCCTTTTCTTGCATATGCGTGCTTTCTACGGGCAAGGCATGTTGTCACATGAGGAAGCAACCAGACACAAGATCTTTCACCTTCACCAGCACTTAAAGGGGCACATGTACATGCACTGCTGCCTCAAACTTTGTGCAGTGAATCATGGCCACCTAAGTCACCAAAATACAGCCTTAAGAACTGGCCCTGGTGGATAATGTATACATCTGATTTATTTCCATACAGTGACAAAATACCCTAAAGGCGCCAGATTCTGTTTGATCTTGGAAGCTAAGCAGGATCATCACTGATTAGTATCTAGTTGGGAGGTCACCAATGAAAGCCAGGTGCTGCAGGCTATATTCCAAGGAAGAAACTGGCAAAACCACCTCGGAGTATTCATTACCAAAGAAAATCCTTCGAACTTCGTGGTGTTGCCCTAAGTCGATAGGCATCTTGAAGGCACACAGCGAAGGAAACAGAAGAGTACACAATATGATAACATATCTACCATGCCTTGATTCATTTCAGCATTAGGACGAAGCATTAGGAGAAGGACAAAAATAAACTGCAAATCATTTGACTTTTTAGAGTAGTTTGTTTTTGCAAACAAATGCAACTTGTAATTCAGGTTAATGTGTAACATTAATCTATCTTTTAGGGAAATCCATGCAGAAGGTTTATTTAGCATGCCAGAAAACCAGCTCAGCATCCTATAACATGGATTTGACAATCCTTAGGCTGAGATGGGCTACAGATTTGTGTTTCTCTCTGTGTGTGTAAACATGATGGCAAGCAGACTGCAAGATTTAGGTTTCTCTCTCTCTCCTTCTCTCTTTCTTTCTCTTCCCTCCCTTTCTCTCTCTTTTTCTCTGTATAAAATGAGAGTCAGTAAAAAGAGAGGCAGACTTCAACCAGATTTGAAACTGCATTCCTATATGAAGGTACTAGGGAGCTAGTCCCATTGAACTTGCTGGAATAATTCCTATTGTTATTAAAGGTAGAGTATCCCACATCCAAAATTCTAAAATCTGAAATACTTCAAAATCTCAAATTAAGCACCTGGATGGCTGAGATAGTGTCACCTTTGCTTTCTGATGGTTCCAACCTTCATCTCATGCATAACTTAACATAGAATCACAGTTGGAAGAGACCTCGTGGGCCATCCAGTCCAACTCCCTGTCAAGAAGCAGAAAAATTGCATTCAAAGCACTCCTGACAGATGGCCATCTAGTCTCTGTTTAAAAGCCTCCAAAGAAGTAGCCTCCACCACACTCCACTGCTGAACAGCTCTCTTTCACAGTTAGGAAATTCTGTCTCATGTTCAGGTGGAATAGTTTGAAGCCATTGCTCCATTGCATCCTAGTCTCCAGAGCAGCAGAAAACAAGTTTGCTCCCTCCTCCCTATGACGTCCCCTCATGTATTTATACATGGCTATCATGTCTCCTCTCAGCATTATTAAAAATATTATGTATAAAATTGCCTTCAGACTATGTGGATATGAAGCATAAATGAATTTTGTGTTTAGATTTGGGTTGTAACTCCAGGATATCTCCTTACGTAAGTTTATGCAAATACTGGTATTCCAAAATCTGAAAGAAAATCTGAAATCCACTTGCGTTTCCAAGCTTTATGGATAATGGATGTTCAATCTGTATTGTCACTATTGTTGCAAATGATTAGAAAAGAGATGTGAAGGAATGGTTGGAAAGGAGTGGCAGCAGCAACCAAATAGGATTGTTTCTATTTATTACTTATGCTGTTCTAAAATATTCTTAAATCTCCTTTGCAAGAATTACTAAGTAGCACAAGAAAGATGCGTCATCAAGTCGAAAGATGTACACATTGTTTTACTTTTGTGTGTTCAATATGTTTTGGATTAGAATTGTTGGAATATTCAAAGATATTTGAAAAATCATCACAAACATCTTTGGAGGGTTCTTTGGGTGGGGGGATTGTTGTTGTTTTGAGTGTCCAGACAAGAATAATCATAAACTAATGAAACTTCACAGTTTGGGAGTTTTTCTGTAAACAATTTGCATGTAGCAGCACTGTACAGACAACAGCATTTTCTGTGCATAGAAAAAGGCCATCTCAAATGAAAAAAGTGCTGTAAATTGAGGACTTATTCTATAAGTCCTCAAGTCTATAAGTAGATAAGTCTATAAGTAGATTCGCATGTACTTTATTTGCACAGAAAACCACATTCTTTCTAACATTGGGAAGAAAATTACTGTAGTTCCCCATGGATTCCTTCCAGAAAAAAAACTTGGTGAAGAATCACATCCCTATTACGATGTACAAGATCCCAGACTTTCAGTTTTGTCATGGATTCCTTTTGTGATGTTATCAAAGTTATTGGGTTGTTGTAGGGTTTTTTGGGCTATATGGCCATGTTCTAGAAGCATTCTCTCCTGATGTTTCACCTGCAACTATGGCAAGCATCCTCAAAAGTTGTGAGGATGCTTCACAACCTCTGAGGATGCTTGCCAGAGATGCAGGTGAAATGTCAGGAAAGAATGCTTCTAGAACATGGCCATATAGCCCAAAAAACCTTCAATAATGCAGTGATTCTAGACATGGAAGCCTTCGACAATACAGCAAAGTTATTGTTTCCTAGTTTCAATTCTGCACAGCTTGCCTGCCTCAAAAGACTGTTCAGGTTTTGATGTTTTCTCCCCTATCCACTGCATTCAAGTGGACATCATATGAGAGATGATCAAGCATTTGCAAACTGAGAGGGTTATAAAAGTGATAAATATTCATAGGGGATTGGTCAATTTAGGAGGCCAGGGGTGGGATTTGCAGTGCCAGGATTCCTTTGAACTGGTCCACTTTGACCAATCCTTCTGAAGAATATAAAATTGGGTGAGATTTAAAGAAAGGGCATGGACTTTGTTCTTAACACTGACCTGAAATTTTTTTGAAGAGGCTGCAGAAACATTAGAGAAATGGTCAAGGGTGCAGCTTGGCTTATTTAAGGAGCAGGGATAAGTACAGACTTGCCATGTTCAGAAACAGCCAAGAAAAGCATTTGCAGTTGGCAGCCTGTACCTAAAACCAAGGATGTCACTGGGAAGGAAGGAAGGAGGGAACCATCATAGTTCAATTTTGCACAAGGAGGTCCCAAGAGTCTCAACTGAGCTTAAATGTGAGCCATGTAGGCATGACTGCATTGACTCTTAGGAGTCTTGTGTGGAGTCAGTAGACTGAGGCTCACAGCCACTATTTCCTCTTACGGCTCTTACTGCTGCACCCAGCAGTAAACCTTTTCATATATTATCCTGTCTAGGATTATATATAAAAAGGCATTAATGGAATGGTTAAGGCAGGGCTTGGGTTATGTTTGAGAGATGCATTGAAACACTTTTCACAGGAAAAGACGGAGGGGGAGAGAAAGAGATGCATGAAAAGAGAGACATCACAAGGCTAGATCATATTTGAAACTGACTCAGAGGCAACCAGAGTGTCGAATTACTGTTCACAAAACCAGGAGTGCAAATTAAAAGAGGGATTTAGCATCAACTGTTGCTCTGCAGTGTGTCCACCAATTTGCCAATTCATTGTTTTAATAAATTGTATGCTTTTGCATTTTTGGGTAACAAACCTGGCACCTATCTGGCAGTTTGGGTTTCAAAATGCCTCACAAAATGACACAAATATACTTACAATGAGCCTATAAGGTAGGGCAAAATGATTCTTTTATATATAGTAGAACTGGAGGAAAGGAGAGTGATGCCCACTTTACACACACATAAACCAAACTTTGAATGTGATTGTCCTGCTTCTTGGCAGGTTGGACTGGATGGCCCACGAGATTTCTTCCAACTCAATGATTCTATGATTCTAAACCATTGTGTATTGTCAAAGGCTTTCATGGCCGGAATCACTGGGTTGTTGTAGGCTTTTTGGGCTGTATGGCCATGTTCTAGAAGCATTCTCTCCTGCCATTTTGCCTGCATCCGTGGCAAGCATCCTCAGAGGAACCTCACAACCTATGAGGATGCTTGCCACAGATGCAGGTGAAACATCAGGAGAGAATGCTTCTAGAACATGGCCATAAAGACCGAAAAACCTACAACAACCCATTGTAGTAATCTTAACTGGTGACAAAGCTAGTTTCCACAGCTAAAGGTTAACTACATGTTTTGTCCAAGAGGCAAAATAGCTAATTGTGATTATTCAGTTGCAAGAAAAGTCTACTTTGCACATGCCCAGAAGCTGGGCAGCTTTCTCTATTCACTTGGAAGGTTCACAGAAATGTAAATAAACAAGGACAAAAAAAAAACATTTTCCATATAGGGAGAGAGGCTAAGTAAGATGTTAAGAGGAAAGGATGTAATACTTTCTTTATTCCAAGTGTTTCTCTAAAAATAGAGCCCGAGGGGCTACTAAAAAAATTCAGAGTGAGGTGCTCCATCTCCTGCACTGATTATGAGCCATCCCATTCTATCTCTAGGGATAAATTGAAGTTAGAGCAAAATTAGAACATATAACATGTAACCCATTTCATACATTCATGGCATGGGTGACAATTGTGCTGCTGAAGGTCCCAGGCTCTTCCTCAACCTCTGGTCCTCCAGATATTTGGGACTTCATCACTCAGAAGACCTAGGCCAGTGTAATCAATGTTCAGGGCTTCTGGGAGATGAAGCCCCAAATAACTGGTGGACCAAACCAGTGAGAACCACTTTGCATGTCAGATAGTAAGAAATGGGACACATCACTCTCTCGTGAAAGTCCTAGCAAATGGTCACAAATCAAGCACAGCAGTAATCTGACACACTCATCTGATGTAAGGCAGCTTCTGATATAACTTTCTTGCAACTCATCTCCACTTTTCCCTGCTCTTTGGTGAAGTTCACAGAATGACCTTGCTCTGCCCTCAATGCAGTCTACCTTGAGATGTTGTTGTGGAGAAATAGAAGTGTCCCATGCACACCTTGCAGGCAGGATAGCACACAGATGTACATTTTCAGCAACATGCTGATACGGGGGGGGGGGGGGGCTCCAACCTCTCTTTAGCTTTGGATGCCAAGGAACCCCCTCCTTGGCTTGGCCCAAGTATTCTCTCAGCCCAGCCTACCTCCAAGGGTTGTTGTTGTGGCTCCTATTGCTGTGGGGAGTTTCATGGAAAGAGGTGGAGGGAAGCATGGAAAGGATATGGCACAGATTATCTGCAAAGTAGCATCTTCTCAGAGCAAAATGTCTAGTATTCCTTACCAAATTTAAAGAAAGGCAAGCAGGAATCTTCAAGCAGTTGATGGAAGTGTGTTGAATCACTGGCTAGAATCACTGGGTTGCTGTGAGTTTTCCAGGCTGTCTGGACATATTCCAGAAACATTCTCTTCTGATGTTTTGCCCACATCTATGGCAAGCATCCTCAGAGGTTGTGAGATCTAGTTGGAAGCTAGGCAAGTGAGGTTTATATATCTGTGGAATGTCCAGGGTAGGGAAAGGATTTCTTGCCTGTTTGAGACAGGGGTGAATGTTGCACTTGGCCACCTTGATTAGCACCGAATGGCCTTGCAGCTTGGCTGGTTTCTGCCTGGGGAGATCCTTTGTTGGATGGTGTTAGCTGGCCCTGATTGATTCTTGTCTGAAATTCCCCTGCTTTTTGAGTGTAGACAATTTCAACAGAAAGGAGAAAACCATGAAAATGAACAAAATCTGGCTATCAGTATTTAAAAAACTAAAATCAGAACAGTAAAGAAAGAGCAACACTAAAAAAACCAAAAAAACCAAAAACCCAGGGGAATTCCAGACAGGAAACAATCAGGGCCAGCTTTGTGTGTGTGCGCATGCACGCGTGTGTGAGGAGAAACCTGAGAAACTGCAAGTCGCTTCTGGTGTGAGAGAGTTGGCTGTCTGCAAGGATCTCATCTGCGCTCTCCCCGGATTTGAATTTCCAACATGTCGGTCTTCAGTCCTGCCGGCACAAGGATTTAACCCATTGCGCCACCGTGGGCTCCTAGGCCAGCTAACACCTCCCAACAAAGGACTCCCCCAGGCAGCAACCAGCCAGGCTTTGAAGCTGCAAGGCTATTAAATGCTAATCAAGGTGGCCAATTGCAACAGTCACACCTGCCCCCAACAGACAAGAGTCCTTTTTCCCAACCTGGACATTATTATACAGAGGGAGAAGATCCCTCTTGTCCTTTGCTGAAGGTAGCAATTGTTGGATTTTCTCAGTGGGTCTGTGGATATTTGGTAGGTTATGTTTCTTCATCACACTTGCCTCAAACAGACAAGAGTCCTTTCTCCCACCCTGTACATTATTCCACAAATATATAAACCTCACTTGCCTAGTTTCCATCAGACCTCACAACCTCTGAGGAATATAGTGGGGAATATGATTATTTTTTTAAAAAAAATCAAACAGTCAGGGTCAGCTAACAACTCCCAATAAAGGATGTCTCCAGACAGGAAGAAGCCAGACTTTGAAGCTGCAAGACCATTCAATGTTAATCAAGGTGACCAATTGCAACATTCATACTTGCCTCAATCAGACAAGAGTTCTTTCTCCCACCCTGGACATCATTCCACAGATATATATATATTCACTTGCCTAGTTTCCAACAGACCTCACAACCTCTGGTGACGCCTGCCAATGGTAGATGTGGGTGAAAAGTCAGGAGAGAATGCCTCTGGAACATGGCAATACAGCCCGAAAAATCTACAACAACCCTATATAAACCTCACTTCTCTAGTTTCCCACAGACCTCACAATCTCTGAGGATGCCTGCCATAGATGTGGGTGAAACGTCAGGAGAGAATGCCTCTGGAACGTGGTCATACAGCCTGGAAAACTGACAGCAACCCAGTTGATGGAAGGATGTAGAGCAAGCATGGGCAAACTTGGGCCCTCCAGGTGCTTTGGACTTCAACTCCCACCATTCCTAACAGCCTTCCTGATCTTCTACATCAGGCATGGGCAAACTTGGGTCCTCCAGGTGCTTTGGACTTCAACTCCCACCATTCCTAACAGCCTTCCTGATGTTCTACATCAGGCGTGGGCAAACTTGGGCCCTCCAGGTGCTTTGGACTTCAACTCCCACCATTCCTGTTTGCAGTTGCAAAGCACCTGGAGGGCCCAAGTTTGCCCACGCCTGATGTAGAACATGGCATAGGAGGGAAGACAGGCTTGTTTAAGGGAAACTATTGCTGCAGAGAGGGAGAGAAAGAAAGAGAGAGCGAGATCCACAGGGGAGAAAGCGCCTCCGCATGAAACTTACCCGGGAAGAAGTTTGCGCAGAGGAGGAGGATGAGTTGCTCTTGCAAGGCGAGGAGTCCCATTGTGGGGCGAGGAGAAAGCAAGCCTTCCCTCCTTGGCTGCGCCCGAGAGAGAGAGAGATCAGCGCGCAGATGCCCTCCAGGCCAAGCGGGTCCTGCTGGCCATCCTCCCTTGGTCCCGATGCATGGCCTTCCCTTCCTCGGCCCCACTCCGACTCCGCTTCCTCTTCCTCCTCCTCCTCTTTTTCTCCTTTGGGCTTGCTTCCTCGCCCACTTTGGGCTCCGTCTCCTCCTGCTCCGCTCACTATTCCGGTCCCAAGAACAGGGTTGTCAGAAAACCAACTCAACAAGAGACAAGAGGAGAAATGGGGGAAGCAACCCGAGCTTTGATTCCCTCGGGATGGGACTTCTTTGCCTGGAGAGAGCACCCGTGTCGTCGTAGAGAGTGCGCTTGGCTCTTCAAGGATGGGACCCTTTTGGCTTGAATCACTGGAGAAAGAGAGAGAGAGGCAACAACTGCCTCCGCTTGGAGATGCCCAAAGAGTCAGAGTTGCTGTTTCCCCTCAAACAGCAAGAAACAAAAGACTAGGGAGGGAAAAGCTGAGCTGAACTAGAGGATCGCCCGCTTTGCAGCTGGAAATGGGATCCTTTCGCTTGGCTGGCTGGAGATCACCGCTGCTTCCTCTTTGGAGACACCCAGGTTGCTATCTCAGGCTCTTTTGGGGACACTCTCTTGGCTTTTAGTGGGTGGGATGCCCAGCTTTCCTCCTCCTCCTCCTCCGCTGCGCCGCCTGAGCTCTGGAGTCGTGGAGTTCGCCCGGCGCCGGCCGCATCCCCTCCTTCCCTCTCTTCTTCCCTCTCTCTCTCCCTCCTTCCCTCCCTCTCCCTCTTTCTCTCGCCCCCTCCCTTGAAATCCTCTGAGCTCAGATTGGACGGCGGAGGCGAGTGGAAGCCACTCGGGCTTCATCCGCTGGTGGGGGGACCGGCCTCTCCCTCTCGCCTCCTCCTCCTCACCCTCCCTCGCCATCCCTTTCTTGACTGCCTGAGGCGAGGGGGGGGGAGAAGGCAGGCAAGAGGGAGATCCCACCCCAAAGGAGGCGAAAACACCCAGAAGGAAAGCCCAGGGTGCAGAGGAATGTTCCCCTTCTTTTAAACGTTTGTGACCCTTAGAACTTCGTGTTGTTTTAAACACAACACCTTCTTATTCACTGGTTTGGGAAAACCATTTAGGTCACTGTGAGTTTTCCGGGCTGTCTGGCCATGTTCCAGAAGCATTCTCTCCTGACGTTTTGTCCACATCTATGGCAAGCATCCTCAGAGGTTTTGAGGTCCGTTGGAAACTAGGCAGATATATATAAACCCCACTTGCCTAGTTTCCAACTTGCCTAGTATCTCAGAGGTTGTGAGATAAAAATCCTCACAACCTCTGAGGATTTTTATTTATTTCGTATCAAAAGCATTGCATAAATTAGTATAAAACTGATAAAAATAGAAGGAGCACAGGGGCTAAATATCTTTTGACCAAAAACGGTCAACAGCAATAGCATTGTCTGTAGCTTCCAACAATTCTTCCTCTGTACCTGAGGCAGGTCACAGTAGACAAGCATACAGATTTTTTGTTGTTGTGTCAGGAGCAACTTGAGAAACTGTAAGTTGCTTCTGGTGTGAGAGAATTGGCCATCTGCAAGGACGTTGCCCAGGGGACGACCAATGATTTGATGTTTTTATCATCCTTGTGGGAGGCTTTTCTCATGTCCCCACATGAGGAGCTGGAGCTGATAGAGGGAGCTCATCCCGCCTCTCCCCGGATTCAAACCTGCGACCTGTCTGTCTTCAGTCCTGCCGGCACAGGGGTTTAACCCCGTGTACCACCGGGGACTCCTGTCTGGCCATGTTCCAGAAGCATTATCTCCTGACGTTTTACCCACAACGATGGCAGGCATCCTCAGAGGTTTTGAGGTCTGTTAGAAACTTGGCACAGATACATAAACCCCACCTGCCTAGTTTCCAACAGACCTCACAACCTCTGAGGATTTTTATTTATTTCGTATCAAAAACATTGCATAAATAAACTGATAAAAATAGAAGGAGTGCAGGCGGCTAAAATATCTTTTGACCAAAAACGGTTAACAGCAAGGGCATTGTTTGTAGCCTCCAACAATTCTTTCTCTGTACATGAGGCAGGTCACAGTAGACAAGCATACAGATTTATTTTTTGTTGTGTCAGGAGCAACTTGTGAAACTGCAAGTTTCTTCTGGTGTGAGAGAATTAGTCGTCTGCAAGGATGTTGCCCAGGGGACGCCCAGATGATTTGATGTTTTATCATCCTTGTGGGAGGCTTCTCTTATGCCCCCGCATGAGGAGCTGGAGCTAATAGAGGGAGCTCATCCGTGCTCTCCCCGGATTCGAATTTGCGACCTGTCAGTCTTCAGTCCTGCCAGCACAGGGGTTTAACCCACTGCGCCACCGGGGGCTCAGCATACAGATGCGGAGCTGTCTGTCCTGCTCCACAGTCACACAAGGTGTGAGATTCTTTTAGGTAGTGCCATTTTGCCAGGTTGTCTTTTGATCTGTCCAGTCCACTTCTGAATCTATTCAGGGACTTCCAAGTTGCCCATTCTTGGTATGTCCCTGGAGGAAGACCCTCTTGAGGGGCCATCCAATTGGGATTTCCTGGTTTAGCTGTCCAAAGGGATACATTGCTGTTGCTGGAGGGATGCCAAGAGGAGTTGTAGTTCTCATAAAGCTTTTCCTTGATTTGAGTACACTGGGAGGAGGCTGGTAGCCATGTAGTGGGTGGCTTTCACAGTGTTCAACCTTATTTCTCTCACATTTAGCAGCAGCAACTTCCCATCACACATCCAGGGGGAGGGGGGGCAATGCCAGCTAGCTTGTAGAGTTTATCAACAGGTGTAGGTTTAAGACATCCTGTGATTATTCTGCATATTTCATTCAATGCTATGTTCATTGCTTTTTAAACCTCTGAGGATGCTTCCATAGATGTGGGTGAAACGTCAGGAGAGAATGCTTCTGGAACATGGCCATACAGCCTGGAAAACTCACAACTCAGTGATTCCGGTCATGAAAGCTATTGAGGCTGCAAGCTTTCCGGGCTGTCTGGCCTTGTTCCAGAAGCATTCTCTCCTGACATTTTGCCCACATCTATGACAGGCATCCTCATAGGTTGTGAGGTCTGTTGGAATGTAGGCAAGTGAGGACTATATATCTATGGAATGACTAGGGTGGGAGAAAGAACTCTTGTCTGGTGGAGGCAAGTGTGAATGTTGCAATTGTTCACCTTGATTAACATCACAGCTTCAAAGCCTGGCTGCTTCCTACCTGGGGAATCCTTTGTTGGGAGGTGTTAGCTGGCCCTGATTGTTTTCTGTCTGGAATTCCCCTGGGTTTTTTTTAGTGTTTTTCTTTATTTACTGTCCTGATTTTGAAGGGTTTTTTAAATACTGGTAGCCAGATTTTGTTCATTTTTATGGTTTAAAATGCAAACTATTTAGTTTTAAGAACTGCTTTTAGCTGTACAGTGGCATCCAATGAAGTTTGAATCCAGGACCCCTGAGAAAATCCAAATCCATGGATGTGCAAGCCATTCAATATAATGGCATAGGAAAATAGTGTCTCTTACATTTTAAAAAATGGCAAAATCAAGGTGTGCTTTTTGGAATTTTCTTTGGACATTGCCATTCCATTGATGATTGAATCAGTGGATGCAGAACCCACGGATAGGAAAGGCTGGATACATTTTGTTTGGGTCTCTCTGGTGAGATGCTTTGGGGGTGCCTATTTGGAGAGGGAAATATGTCTCTGTGACATAACGTGAGAATAACACAAAATAAAAAGAGGTCTCTGCAATGACACAGACAACCCCTCACTGCCTATGAAATGCCACATTGTACATTCTTCTTTCCTCCCATCCTCATTCTTTAATTCTTTACCATTTTCTTTCTGGAGGAAAACATTTGTCTCCTACCCTCTACCATGGGATCAATTAAGGACCATTTAAATAGGAAACCATGTGGAACGCTTTAAATGGTCTTTAAAACATACTAAACAGTTCAACAACTGGAACATGAAAACATTTAGCAATTAAAATAGTCAGAGAACTGGACAGATCTGGAAAAATACCCATTAGATACCTTCAGACACAAGGCTTTGATAGAAACCTATGTTTTCTCAGTTCTTGTGGGTTTTTTCGGGCTATATGGCCATGTTCAGACCTCACCTCTGAGGATGCTTGCCATAGATGCAGGTGAAACGTCAGGAGAAATGCCTCTAGAACAGTGGTTCTCAACCTTCCTAATGCCGTGACCCCTTAGTACAGGTCCTCATGTTGTGGTGACCCCCAACCATAACGTTATTTTCGTTGCTACTTCATAACTGTCCTTTTGCTCCTGTTATGAATTGTAATATAAATATCTGATATGCAAGATGTATTTTCATTCACTGGACCAAATTTACACAAGTACCCGATACGCCCAAAATTGGAATACTGGTGGGGTTGGGGGTGAATGATTTTGTCATTTGGTAATGCTGGAGTCGCTGAGATTTATAGATCACCTTAAATCAAAGAGCCTTCTGAACTCAATCAATGATGAAATTGAATCAAACATGGCACACAGAATTCCCATGACCAAGAGAAAATACTGGGATGGTCTGGTGGACATTGACCTTGAGTTTTTGGAGATGTAGTTCACCTACATCCAGAGATCACTGTGGACTCAAGCAATGATGGATCTGGATCAACTTGGCACAAATACTCAATATGCCGAAATGTCAACACTGATAGAGTTTGGAGAAAATAGACCTTGCCATTTGGGAGTTGTAGTTGTTGGGATTTATAGTTCACCCACAATGAAATAGCATGCTGAACCCCAACAACGATAGAATTGGACCAAACTTTCCACACAGAACCCCCATGACCAATAGAAAATACTATGTTTTCTGATGGTCTTTGGTGACCCCTCTGACACCCCCTCGCGAACCCCACAGGGGTCCCGACCCCCAGGTTGAGAAACACTGCTCTAGAACATGGCCATATAGCCCGAAAAAACCCACAAGAACTGAGTGATTCCAGCCATGAAAGCCTTCAACAACCTATGTTTTACCTTAGTGACAAAAGGAAACCAACACTGATGCTACTGAAGCCTTAAAGAAATTCCACAACTGGGGAGCTACAGAAGAGAAAGCTTATCCCACCCTTCTCCAGCATGTTGCTTTCACCAGCAGGACACAGAATAATAAAGTTGGAAGAGACCCCAAAGGACATCCAATCCAACCCATTTTGTCAGGCACAATCAAATCACCCCCAACAGATGGGCGTTCAGCTTCTATTTAAAAATCCCCCATGATGGAGACTTCATCACATTCGGAAGCAGCATATTACATTGGGTTGTTGTAGGTTTTTTCGGGCTATATGGCCATGGTCTAGAGGCATTTTCTCCTGACGTTTCGCCTGCATCTATGGCAAGCATCCTCAGAGGTAGTGAGGTGTGTTGGAAGTAGGAAAATGGGTTTATATATCTGTGGAATGACCAGGGTGGGACAAAGGACTTTTGTCTGCTGGAGCTAGGTGTGAATGTTTCAACTGACCACCTTGATTAGCATTTAATGGCTTGGAAGTGCCTGGGGGAATCTTTTTTTTTGTTGAGAGGTGATTTGATGTGCCTGATTGTTTACTCTCTGTTGTTTTGCTGTTGTAATTTTTGACTTTTTTAATACTGGTAGCCAAATTATGTTCATTTTCATGGTTTCTTCCTTTCTCTTGAAATTGTCCACATGCTTGCGGATTTCAATGGCTTCTCTGTGTAGTCTGACCTGGTGGTTGTGAGAGTGATCCAGCATTTCTGTGTTCTCAAATAATATGCTGTGTCCGGGTTGGTTCATCAGGTGCTCTGCTATGGCTGACTTCTCTGGTTATTCCCCCAGGCACTTCCAAGCCATTAAATGCTAATCAAGGTGGTCAGTTGAAACATTCACACCTAGCTCCAGCAGACAAAAGTCCTTTGTCCCACCCTGGTCA